AGGTGGATCCTTATGCAGAAAAAGTAGTGAAAAATTGTAGAGGGTGTACCTTAGTTTCAGCGCCAAATCCACCTAACCCTTAAAAAAGACAAGAATTTCCTGTCGAACCTTGGAACGATGTGGCCATGGATTTCATGGGCCCATTACCAAATGGGTTTTATCTATTTGTAATTGTAGATTATTATAGTAGATATAAAGAGATAAAATTATTGAAACATATTACACCCAGAGAAACTATCAAAGTTTTGCGGGAAATATTTTCTCGGCTTGGTAATCCTGTCTCCATAACGGCTGATAATAGGAAACAATTCTCCTGTAGTGAAAGGGAGTTTTGCTCGGAAAGAGATATAATTTTGCATAATACAGTTCCATATTTCCCTCAACAAAATGGAGAAGTGGAGAGGCAAAATAGAGATATTTTAAAAAGGCTCAAAATATGCAACTCACTAAAACAAGACTGGCAACTAGAACTGCAGAATTATCTCACGCTGTACAATGGTACTCTACATTCTACAACCGGAAAAACTCCTGCTGATTTATTCTTTAGAAGACAATTCAGGGATAAAATTCCTAGCATAAATGAATGTCAATACCAATTCCTTTGATATTGGATGAAGACGTGAGAGATAGGGACCACTTGCAAAAAGAAATGGGAAAAAAATATGCTGACAAGAAATGAAAAGCCATCGAAAATGACTTAAGTGAAGGCGATAAAGTTTATGTCAAGAACATAATTAAACAAAACAAATTAACTAGTGAATTCGGACCCACTCCTTATACAGTAACCCGAAAAACAGGAGGAGACGTAGAGGTTGAAAATAGTGAGACTGGGGAAAAGTTGCGAAGAAATATTATTCATTTAAAAAAAGTTGAGGGAGAGTGGCAAGTGTGTAGAAATGAAACTGATAGAGAAAACGAAACCAGTTAAAAGGTTGGTCCGAGTCAATAAAGTTGGGGGAAATATTTAATAATTATAATGGACTTCTTGCACTCAATCGAAATTAGGTATATAATTTATCTGTAACGAAAGTTTATTTTATATACTACATAACAGTATGGTTGGTTATTTTTTGTTTTAAATCTTGAAGGCAGAAATTAAAAGAAAAAAAAGCCGATTATTTGAATTCTGCGCCATATTTTTCCACCAATCAAAAATCACTGTTTGCAAATTTTCATGTTCCAAACGAATCTTTTTTTTTTTTTTTTAAACACATCGAACAAAAAAGGACGCATAGAAATATCAAAATCGCTTCGTGGATCGACTTTGGTACAGCTCTACTTTTGACATGAAAAATAAAGCAAGACTTATGAAGTTTTCACAATTTTGTTTTCTTGTCTAAATACGAACTAGACAAAGAAAGAACTAATCCGGCACAGTATAAAGTACGAATACGATAAAAGGGATTTTTATTTGTCATGATGATTTTTGTTTACTATTAGCCACAGGTCAGGTCAGTGACCTCTGGCCAAATTATCAAACAAAATAATCAATTAACAACAAAATACAGTCCCTGACACTGGGGAATTATTCAAAATAAACCAATAAACGGTTCCGAAAGGTAGTCCGGATACTTTGTCCGGAGTCACCCTGTGTGTAGTTTGAATAAAATGGAAAAAGGATGTTTTTGTCTGTGAAAATGAAAAAAGCTAGGTTGGTGTAACCCAACGCCTTTAATTTTTAATTTCTAATTTTTATTTCTTAGAGCTTAATTCATAACAAGTTAACAGCGTGTTATTAAATGATGGCGTTATTGGTTTATCCAATTTCTATACCACAATTTTTTTGGTGCCAAAATACCGGCTTCATTTTCCAACTCCATGTTACTACTCCTTTACCTTTACCTGCTCTAAGGGCTTCATTCATAGTCTTGTTGTGATTTTGTGTTGATTGAAAACAAAACAATATTGAAATCAGTGTTGCCAACTATATGAATGGTCATTTTACCAGATTATAAAACTTGGAATACCAGAATATTACTAGATTTTTCTCAATCCTGCCAATACCTGCATATTACTAGGTCTTTGTTGCTAAACAAAAATTTTGCTAAAATTTTTAGATTTCAATTGTTTATTTTAATTTTTTATTTTTTTTTCGTTAGGTTTAAAATAAAAATGCAATAACAACAATATCTAGTATGGAAAAATGAAACTTATTCAGACAAAATAACACTGCATACCTAATGTAGGTATACCTACACAGGATACCTATAAACAAATACATTATTGTAAAAAAAAATCCATTCTGTATAACATAACATTACAGAAATTGTTAAACATGCTTAGACCCGGTTTGTTCATCTTCAGATAAGCTCCTTGGTAACTCTCTGCAAGATAAGTGCACCGTTCTATAATTCTATTGGTCGGCGGATAACTGGCCAACCAATGGGATAACATATTTCGTTTATATGTGGGTCAGATTGCATACCTGACAGTTTATCAGAAGGTGAATAAACCAGCCCTAATGGGTATATTGGTAACATTTGGCATAACTATTTAAGACTAGTTTCCATAGACGCGAAATGGCGATCCATTTTTTGTCACATGTCCAATGTCAAATTGCAACATGTAAAAATGTCTCTTTAAGCGTTGATTATCGTTGAAGCTCCCTCAAAATAGACGGTGCAAACGACCATAAATTCAAGAAAAATAGATTATTGATTGCTAATGCGAAAATACCAGAATTTTGATGGAATAAAATGTCAAATAACCAGAAATATTACTAGATATATTTTGAAAATCTTCATTACTGAAACCGGGGTCGATATTACCAGATCTGGTAGTTATTTTACCAAGTTGGCAACACTGATTGAAATAAGAAACCCCTATATTCTTTTAAAATAAAAAAACCCATGAATACTAAAGATCAATCCAGTCTTATATATTTGGTGGCCGGAAAAAAATTCAGTAACTGGGTAACAGGACCAAATCGATAGCTAATATTTTACGAAATAAGAATAGAAATTAGGAATTAGGGAGTTAGGTAGCACTGGCCGTATTAGAGAAACTGGTATCGAATAGGTACAGACACATAAAAATAATACTCCTATTTTATTTCCCATAATCCACTTAGAAGAAAAATAACAATAATTTTAATGGGTAATTATATAGAGATTATATACCTATTTCAGTGCCGAAATTAAAAATGTAAAATTAAAGAATTAAACTCACAGCAGAACACTAAATATTAGCATCGTGTATTAGTAAAATGCAGGTAGAGCAACCTTTGTGTGCCTTCGTGTTTTCTGCCCGTTTTGGAGTTTTGGAGTCTTGGACAGTCTAATAATTTAATAAATAAAAATAAATAATGATTATATATTTTGAATTAAAAAGTTGGGTTAAGTTTTTCATGGGATGAGAATCGATTTCATATTCCGATATTTACAAATCTCTGGATTCGATCGATTTAGTTGTCGCCGCCAGGAAAATTTTACATGAAATTCCTGACATCTGGGCAACACTGAATAAAATTGACCAATCAGAAATTTTGTGCCGTAACATCACGGCACCAAGAAATTTGAACTCCAAATCGAAATTTAGAGCCTTTGCAAGTCCGAAAAACATCAGAAAAAAATACAGTTGAGCTTAATTTTGACTCCTCTTTCCAATAAGCAAATAAAAAAAATTCATGCAAGAAACCTATTGGTGTGTTGGAAAAAATATTATGTATAAAATTAAGTTAGAGTAGTTATATAATTATATTAATTAATATTGTAACTACTATTATTAATATTATTATTTTGTACTATGTATACAAGCTAGTTAAAATATCGTTAATTTAATGAATTATTTATACAATTGCAATCTAATTTAAGAACGAAGAGATGTAGTGTATTGTGATGTAAGACTTTTGTCATTCCCAGCGTGACTGGCAGAGAGTACGTTGCGTAAGACAAATGTGTTTGATTTAAACCTATATTATACAATTGGTGTGAACTGTCTCGTTACCGTCTTCGATGTTTTGGATATCAAGGTGTTCATCGATGGGAATATTTTGGGGATCAAGGTCAGGCTGTGCTACGGTTGAGACCTGGTCAATATTTTCATTTTGGGATTCTCGTTCTAGTTCTTTATTAAAATCATTTATGTAAGAGACCAAGTTCGTGATATTGTCGGATGTGTAGTTCAATTCTGCTAAGAGCGTCGGCGTTGGTGTTGAGTTTGCCTTTTTTGTAAATGATATTATAATCAAATTCCTCTAATTTTATGCGCCATCTAACTAGTTTAGAACTAGGGTCTTTTTGATTAAACAACCATTGGAGAGGTTTGTGGTCCGTGATTATATTGAATTTACGCCCGAATAAATATAGCCGGAAGTATTTAGTGGCCCATATCAGGCAAAGACACTCTTTCTCAATGGTGGAATAGTTACGCTTCGAGTCATTAAGTGTGCGCGAGGCATATGCAGGCAGGTCTTGGCCTATGGGACCTCATGAGAGCATAGCACCCAAAGCTACATTGGATGCGTCGCATGTCAAATTGAATGTTTTCGAAAAATCGGGATACTGAAGGATGGTTTCGTTGATTAAGAGGTTTTGACATGCTTCGAAGCATTCAACGAATTCAGTATTGTGTTCGATTTTTACACCTTTTTTCAGACATCTAGTTAGAGACTTAGTGACCTTGGCAATTTTTTTTATAAACCGTCTGTAGTATCCGAGAAGACCTAGAAACCCTTTTATTTGCTTTGTAGTAGAAGGTAATCGATATTTTTTAATAGCTTTGATTTTTTCCGGGTTAGGCTTTGTAGAAATGATTCTTGCACAAGTTGATTCGTAATTCACTTTATATTTATATAGAATAATTATGTAACAATAGTAACAATAACTTAAATATATTTAATAACAAAACCACATATATAACATATGACTAATACATCTCATCAGCCGGTCCGCCAGTCGACTGACAGATCGCGTGCGTCCGCCCCGATACCACGGCTGGCATAGCAGCGCCGCCAGTGCAGTTCGTGACACTGCTACATTCCTCTCTTTTGGTTTCGAGATTCATTGATCCAGAAGGGTACACGAAGGGTTTGGACCAAGTTTTATCCTTAGCTTTGGTGCAGCATCTGGTGGAGGTTGACCTCGAGGAGGAGTACTTTCATCCTGAACATCTGCTCCATTGCTGGACGGTGTGGATGGACTTTGAGGAGGTGTTCTTCTGTCTTCAACATTTTCTTCACTGCTGGATGGTATTGACTGGGGCAGATCTAACCTGGAAGAATAAAGTTTAAAATTTGCAATGTTTTGCCGTATTGTATTTCCTGACAGATCTAACCTGGAAGAATAAAGTTTTGAATGTGCGATGTTTCGTCGTGTTGTATTTCCTGTTGAGTTTGAAGTTAGAGTGACATCGCCTTGGTGTTTTCCTTTTACTGTATATAATTCATTCTTATACGGTGCACTAGGTTTGTTTTCCTCTCTCTCTGTCCTTACTAAAACAGTATCTCCTTCATTTATATTCGATGTCTTTGCTCGCCGCCTTTTGTGAGCATATTCTTTTGTTTTGGACTTGAAGCGTGTGTCGTTGTCGCGTACTTCACAATGGTCTGGATACTGGATAATTTGTTCACTGATGGATGGTATTTTAGTTCGAGTTGCACATCCAAAAAGAAGTTGCGCAGGAGAAACACCAGTTGCAGGGTGTGGAGTATTTCTATCAATAGAAGGTAATTTTGAAGGTCCTTCTGCCAATCGCTTCCTGGGGTAGTTGCACTTATGCGGAGCCTTTTCAATATTGAGTTGTTTTGTCTTTCAACCAGTCCGTTGGCTTGCGGCCAGTATGGAGGGGTTGAATAAAGTGTTATTCCATGTTCTTTACAAAAACCCTTGAATTCATTACTGACAAACTGTCGGCCATTGTCAGCAGTATTAGTTCGAGGTAGGCCCAGAAGGGAAAATAGTTTCCGGAGTTGTTCTATTGTGTCCTTCGAGGTGATTTTCTCCATGGCGATCACTTCTTTGAATCGACTATAATAGTCAATGATAAATACTGTTGGGCATTGGTCCACAGAATTCAATCGCTATGTCGGTCCAGGGGGTAGCAGGAAAACTTCCCATTTTTAGGGGTACAGGTATGTTTGTTACCGTGACTAAAGCACATTTGTGACATTGTTTCACATATTCGGTAACATCAGCATCTATTTTCGGCCACCATGCATAAGAACTTAAAAGTCGCTTCATATTATCTGTCCCTGGGTGTCCTTCGTGGCTTAGTGTCAATATCTTACGGCGCAGGTCCGTTGGCATCACAATTTTAGTGCCTCGTAGAAGTATATTTTCGTGAAAACAATAGTCCGTGTTGAACGGTTTATAATCTTGTATGGATTTTTCAGACTCTTACAGTTTGTCATTATGTAGGCATTGCTTAATCATCTGGATTTGTGAGTCAGTTTTTGATTGATCGTTCACTTCGTTTATGGTTACAGCGGGATTACTGCTCGTGCTCGTGATGTCAGATATCTGGTTCACTAAATGTTCGATGCCGTCTTCAAACAGGTCTGTCGGATGTTTCGTATTCACTGGCAGGCGAGATAAAGGATCGGCGGTGTTCGTCTTTCCTGGTTTGTAAATTACGTTGAAATCGTAAGCTTGTATTCGCAGAATCCAACGTTCGACTCGTGCGCATAGGGTGTTTCTCGGGGAAAACATAAACTCTAAGGGCTTATGACCAGTTATCAAGTCAAAAGTTTTTCCAAATAAATATTTGTGGAAATGCTCCACTGCCCAGACCAATGCCATGGCTTCCTTTTCAGTTATGTGGTATTTTTGTTCTCTTGCGGAAAGGCTGCGGTGACCGTACGCAATAACTCTGGGCCCCTCTTTTGACTTTTGGCATAATACGGCCCTGAGGCTGCTAGTCCCGTATAGCATCAGCAATAACAAATGTCGGATCACCTATAGAGTTAAAGCCAAGAACTGAGTCGTCCGTCAAAATTTCTTTCAGTCTTTTAAAAGCAGACTCTTGAGGGTTATCCCAGGTAAACTTATTATTTTTGATGATTTGTCTAAGTGGATATGTTTTTGTGGCTACATCGGGAATAAATCTTGAAACATAATTTATGAGGCCCAAGAAGCTGCGAACTTTTTCTACAGATGTTGGTTGCCTGAACCGTTGCACCGCGTCGATTTTAGCTAACGTTAGTTTCACTCCATTTTTCGATATTCTGTGGCCTAAAAATTCAATTTCTGGTATTTTTATTTTGCATTTATTTTCATTTAGGACGACTTTAAAATTATATTCTGATAATTTGTTTCTGATGGCTTTCAATCTCTTATCGTGCTGTTCCTCGTTTTCAGCGTAAACTAAAATATCGTCGATGTACACAAAAAATCCATCGCAGTCTTTGAGGATTTGTTCAATGGTCTTTTGAAAGATCTCAGGCACGCAGGAGATTCCAAACATAAGGCGTTTATACCTGTATAGTCCCCTACTTGTGATGAAAGTTGTTATGTGTCGAGATTCGGGTTTAATCATTATTTGGTGAAATGCTTGCTTAATATCCAAACTGGAAAAAATCGTGCAGTTTTTCAGTTTGGATAGTAGGTCTTCAATTGTGGGCATTGGGTATTTTTCTCGGAGTACTGCTCTATTGGCTCGTCGCATATCAATGGATTTGCGTATCTCTTTGTTTGGTTTGCAGATGATAACCATAGGAGATACCCAGCCCGTGTGATTTTTCACAGGCTCAATTACGTCACTATCCAACAATTCGTCGAGCTTTTTATTCACTGCCTCTTCGAGAGGAATTGGCGTTCGCCGAAGTGGTTGACTTACAGGCTGGACATTTTTATCTATGGGTATATCGACTTTTATACCTTTTTTAGCTGCTAATCTTAGTAATTTCCTATCGCTAGCTATGCTGCGGATAGTTGAATTAGATTTTAAAATGCCTAAACTCAGTGCATTTTCTTTTCCGATAAGTGACATTTTACCCCCTCTAATTATATAGAATTATTCATCAGAACTTGTCTTGCCGGTGTTAAGAGTGGCCGAAAAACATCCGATCACTTCTAAGAGTACATCTGATTCATATGCTTTAAACGATATGTCGGAGTTGCTTTCGAAATCTTTGATAAATGCATTCATTTTATTTAAAAATATCCATGTTTTATCTCCAATAATGTTTTTATTTGAACCGGTGTCTATGCACATTTGAATGACAATACCGCCTACTGCACAAGGGATCGTATCCGTTCCTAGTCAGAAATCACCATTTTCTTCATCAATTGCTCGGATTGTTTCATCTTTTTGGTTAAATTTTTGCCGTTTTCTGATTGAATAATCACTTGACGGGCCGCTGTATTGGCGTTTTGGATTCCTGGTACGACATTTCATAGCATAGTGCCCGATCAAATTACATTTGTTGCATCTTTGATTTCGTGCCGGACAATTGTCGTCTGTTCCGTGATGCGTTTTTTTTCCGCAACGGTAACAATCGGATTCAAATGTTTTGGTATTGGCCTCTATTTTGGAAATACCTTCAATCGGTTTTTGAAAAGCTTGTTTATGTGTTGAAATGGCTTCAAGTGCTTTGGCATGATTAAGTATTTCATTAAGCGACAGTTCGTCGTGTTTCAAAATGAAAACTTGAAGCTTATCATTATTTGTTTTCGACGTGATTTGGTCTCGAATATACTCGTCTATATCATGCTTAAAATTGCATTTGCTTGCCTGTTTCCTTAAACGATATGCGAATTGTTCCACAAGTTCCCCCATGTTTTGGCAGAGCCCAAAAAATATGTGTCGTTCATAAGCTGTGCTTCGCTTGGGAAGAAAATATTCTTGAAATTTCTCTACAGCGATATTGTATACATTGTTATCAGGGTTTTTTTCAACATTAGCTCCAGGCAGTACGTAAAACAAATCTTGGAGCTCAGTTCCACTATAGTGAACCAGTTTTGCTCGTTTTATTTGGTCGTCGGTTATGGAATTGGCCAGAAAATAGATATCCAGGCTGCGTTGCCATTTTTCCCAGTCGTCATGCATTTGGAATGTATTTATTTCCCTCTGTGTTAAGTCCATGTTGTTGTCAAGTTGCGTCTGCAATTTAACAAACAACAATTGTTAACATTAGGGATTCATTTTAATTATAGTAAAAAAAAACAGGTAGGTATTTTCCACTGGGTGTTTTAGTCAACAAGTGAAAAGGAATTAAAAAAATAACTCAATATGGTATTTGACAACAATAGAAATAGTTTATTCTGGGAATGTGCATAAAAATTGTTATCTGCTGTGAATTTTGATGAAAACTTACTACATAGTATGAGGGAAATTACAGGAAAACAATAACATTTAGTGATTATAAAATAACCGAGAAAAAAAAATCCAAAAAAATTGAAAAAATACGCCACTGTTCCTGTCAAATATTGTTATTTTATAGGAGTTATTATACCATTAATCATTAATTATGCATACCCATTATGCTTTATATTGCATACATTACATTATTATGCTTTATTAGTTATCATTTTACGCATTTTTATGTACTGCATACTTCTATGCTTTGTTCAGGAAATAAATTCATATTGCATACCCTATGCTTTTCTAATGCTGCATATCTATTATGCATTATTGTATGAGTCTGATGACTATTTTGTTTGTTAAGCTACTCTATATCGCATACTTTTAATGCCTTTTCATGATTTTAAACCAGTTTCAACTCGGTTTACTTGATATAAACAAATTTATCGTATTTTATTTCATTCAACCTTAAAAAAAAATTTACATATTTACATACCTTTGATTTGTTTTATCCTCGTCGCCAAATGTAGAAATGATTCTTGCACAAGTTAATTCGTAATTCACTTAATATTTATATAGAATAATTATATAACAATAGTGACAATAATTTAAATATATTTGATAACAAAACCACATATATAACATATGACTAATACATCTCATCAGCTGGTTCGCCAGTCGACTGACAGCTCGCGTGCGTACGCCCGGATACCACGGCTGGCGTGGCAGCGCCGCCAGTGCAGTTCGTGACACTGCTACAGGCTTCATGCCTTCTGGTGTCACTACGTGACCTAGGTATACAACTTCTCTTCTCAGAAATTCACCCTTGTCTTACTGGATTTTGAAATTCGAATTACGTAGTTTTTCGAAAACTGCCCTTAGTCGATCTAGGTGTTCTTTTAATGATGTAGAGAACACTATTATATCGTTGAGATATACCAGGCATTATTCGTTTTGGAGTCCGCGAAGAATGTTGTCCATGACCCTTTGGAAGGTGGCAAGGGCATTCTTTAAACCGAAGGGCATGCGAGTAAACTCGTAGTGGCCATTCTCTGTATTGAACGCAGTCTTCGGTATATCGGCTTCTTCCATTTCAATTTGGTGGAAACCGCTAGCAAAGTCCAGTGTGCTAAAATAATGGCATTTCCCAAGTTTGTCGAGAAGATCAGTGATGTTAGGAAGCGGGTATTTGTCGTCTACAGTTTTTCGTTAAGTGCGCGAAAGTCGATCACTGCTCTCCATTTTTGTACTTCCGAGGCGTCCATTTTCTTTGGCACTACCCAAATGGGCGAGGACCATGGTGAAGTAGTTGGTCTTATAATTTTTTGATTTAGCATCTTAATTATTTATGTTTCTACTTCTTTTTTATGTATGAACAAGTACCTATAGGACTTCGTATACACAGGACGTTCATCAAAGGTTCTAATTGAATGTTTAATGTTGCTTAGTGAATGTTACAGTCGTGTTTTCATGATGAAAAATGTCTGAATATTCTTTGCATAAATTCAGTATTGCAATTTTTTCTTCATAGTTTAGATATTCAGTGCGAATTTGAGAAGGGTCGAATTTGGGTTTTGTACAATTAGTGTCGAAATTATTAAGTTCGATATTTTCGAAATTTTTGTAATCGAAATTTTCTACTTCAAATGGTTCAGATATATCTAGTGTTATCGGTTGGCATGTATTATTTAAAATAGTTGCTTACGCATAACCGTTTTTTGCAATCGTCAGACAACTAGGAATTTCACAGTTGTGAATTTTCTGGTAAGGTATTATTACTTCGCCGTTTTGTATGTCGGTATTTAATTTCGCTACTTGGGAACAGCGAGGTGATATTGTAATATTATGTATCTCCGGCCGAGTTTTATGGAAAAGTAACTTGATTCGTGTATGAGGCGTTTCAAGGAAACCGTTGTTATAGTCCTAGCTTGCAACAATTTGAGAGTATCAAGTCCTATTAAGCCATCAAATACGTTGTGAAATTTGAATAAATAAAACTTTAATTTTTTGGATCCTTGTAATTTGAAAATTTGCGATGCTGGAATCGTCGCACTAAATTGATGAGATGATTGTTGAAATACTGTTGGTACTATGAACGGATCGTATGATATATGATTGGGAAAATATTTTTGAGCCAGGTCGGGGTCAATGAATGATTTCGTGGACCCACTATCGATTAAATTTTTAAGTTATTTTCTGGGAATGTTATATACGATAACTCGCTTGTGTTTGTATTATTATAGGATATTATTTGTGGCTCTAGGTTCCTTGGTTCTGTAGGCAAGTATTGGGAAAATTCTGATCATTTTGAGGTGATTGAACCTCGTCATTTTGATCTATAAAATTTTCTGATTCTTGGTTTGACGATTGAGCGTCATCAGTTTGTGGGTAATAGTTATCAAAATGAGGTGGGTCATAGTTTTCAGTGTATGTTTCATCATTATTCATTTGGTACACAAAGTACAAATTTGGCTCATCCACAGTGTCTGTGTTGTGGAGTTCCTCGAATGTGAAATTTGGTGGTTGATTAGAGCGCGATTGGAAATAACTATAGCGTGGTTGGTTGGAATTAGGATATTGATATTGTTTGGGCAAGGTATTGTGCGAAATGGTGCTCATTGGCGTTGGTTTTGGCAGCGGTTTGTTTGGATCTGATTTAAAGGCATTTACTTGGGGCCTTTTCCCAAAAACCTGCGAATTGTTTGGGAATTTTTGCTGAGTTTTGTTATAGTTCGGTCTCACGAAGATTGGTTGTGATGGGAATGCGTTCTTATTTTAAAAGTGTGTGTATTGAGCAGGTGTATTGAAATTTTGTGCTTTTGATTGATGTGCGTATTGAGCAGGTGTATTGAAATTTTGTGTTTTTGGCTTATTTTGAAAATATTGAGTGTTACTTTCTTGCGTAACAAACTGTAAGGCTTCAGGCAAATCTTTCGGCCTCATGCAACGAATCTCTCTTTGAGTCCGGATAAAAATGTTTTCAAAGCAAGATTATTAAAAAGGGTTCTTTTAAGAATTTTTGCATTATCATCTACTTCAGTGGTTCCCAAAGTGGGCGATAACGCCCCCCAGTGGGCGCTGCAACCATCTCGGGGGGCATTAAAGAGCTCAGCTGATTTTGGGGGGCGGTAATCACAAATTAATGGGCGGTGGAAAATAAACAAACAGATCAGAACAAAAAAGGCTAACTTGACGCTCAGCCTCCCAACATTTTAGAAATAAGATGAAACAAAAATGGATTCTTATGCAATCTGAAGTGTGCTGAACTGTGCTGTATCAGGTTTTTCTCAAAATTTCCATATTCGGTCATTTTCTGACAAAATCCTACTGAGTAGGTAACTTGACGCTCAGTCCCTTGCCAAGAAAACGCACGACCGTGAAATTTTTTTAAAAAAAAGTCGCTGCTTCAATATTTTGGATCCCTGCCAAGGGGGGCGCTGGATAATTCCCATTTTCTAAAAGTGGGCGGTAGGTTAAAAAAGTTTGGGAACCACTGATCTACTTCGTGTAAATCTACGTAAGAACATAACAAATTCAAAATGTGTAAAATTCGGTCGTAGTACTGATTAGGGTTTTCGTTATTATTTTGCCTGAGCATAACGAGGTCTCTGTTAAGACAAGCCTTATCTTTTTGGTCAGCAAAATGCCTACCCAAGATAAGTTTTAATTCATTCCAACTATAAACATTTTGGGTACCAAGAACAGGTTTAGCGTTACCTGTCAATTTTTCTATAATACAATTCAACAAATAAACATTTTGAAAGTGGTTCGGCTCATTGGCATTGTAAAAGGTGACAATAATACTCTGACAAACTGCCAAATATCTGTTTAGGTCATTTGGATTGCCGTCAAAGGTCGGCACACAATTTAAATATTCAGGTCTAAATGAAGTAGCCATTATTGATATATTACTGTTTGAGAGTTTTGTTGAATATTGTCAATTATCGATTCTACTCTGCCTTCATCACTATTTTCTGTATTATTTAAAGCTCAATTGATTGTTCTAATTACTTCTTCAGATTGAGAAGCAGAGTCAGTTGAAGGTGATCAATTATCTATTCGCAAATTTAAGTTACTTAATTGATCAATAATTTCATCAATATTGGATTCAATCAATTGCACTACTTACGCACTCAGTATGATGAATATCTTCATTATAAGCCAAGAGTCTTGGTTAGCGATGCCGGTCCTTCCAAAGACTGCTTGATCTTGCGAGAAATGATGATGATGTTCAAATCTCCACTTATTGTAACAAATAAGGTCAAAGTTTTTTGGCAAGCGATTTTTCTCACACAAACGTCTTTGTCCTCGCGAAAATTGGCGATTTAGTCCAATGTCCCGCACTGGTGTTTTAGTAGTGTTCAGGATGAACTCTGATAACCGATATTAGATTATTAGCCACTATCCACACAGCAAACAAACTTAGATCTAGTCCTAATTTTCCGCGTTAACGGTCCAAATTCTTACCGGAACCGAACCGAAAAGTACCGAAAAATATCCTACCGACTGCGCCAGTTAACAAGTCGATAGCCGAGAATTACTTTTAAAAAAACTTTATTTCAACTTGCTAACAATATTTGGATAAAAATAAGAATACAATTATAAATTGAATGCTTTCAACTGACTGACTGTAAATCTGAGCTGAAAAGCTTTTATGAGAATATAAAGTTAAAGTCAGCAGCAATAGTGGTTACTCGGTATCTTCTGGCCATTTAACTCCCGCAATAAAAACACCGTCTCCTATTTCATCCGCGAGAACAACACAATCAGTGTTATGGTCTACATGAAAATATTTTATTATTTCCGTTCGTTTTGTAAATATTTCTTGATTAGCATGCATGGGTACAGTAATTCTATTTTTGCCATCATAAAATAAAAACATAAATTTTTCAAAATCTATTGTTGCACAATATTTAAGAAAAAAATCTAATCCAATAACACCGTGAAAACTATTTTCAAACTCCTTATCATTAAAAATTTATGACACATATTTACATTATCATTTATTGTAAAATTTATGCTTACTGAGCCTTGCGAAATTATTGACCCGGAGACGCTATTTATTTCAATTGTTTCTGAATAATCAATGTTTTGGTGCTTATTTACATGTTCTTGGAAAATTACACTTACACTACTTACAGTCGCACCCGTGTCTAATAAAAATTCAAGATTATTTCCTTCATAATTTACTGTAATAAAATTCAAGCCATTTAATTTTATTAATTGTGGATCAGTTTGGCTAGTCTCGAAAAGACACCTGACCTGTGCTCGAATTTGAGTTATTCCTGCTTGTATTAAAATTTATGTTTTGATTTCTAGAGCTATTGTCATTTTGCATGAAGTACCCGCGTTGGCTATTGTTATGACTCCAACGGCTACCTCTTCGGTTATTGTGAAATCTTGAATTAGGAGAGTTCCTGTTCAAATAATTTGAATTTGTATGTTGCTGAAACTGTCTATTATGAATTATTAAATTGATTAGTATTATTTCTATCAAAGTTCCGAAACGAGCCCCTTGAACCCCGGTGTGCGAAGTTATTATTAGCCCTCAATCGAAATATTTCTCCAGGTATCCCTAACGATATGCCCTCAATATCTAATAAAGAATCATATAAGCCAATTGCAACTATCAGTTGATTAGTTACTGCTTCAGATCCATTCATGACTGGAATTAAACCTGCAGCAGTTTTTAAATCGAATTTTTCAGACATTTTTAATTCTTTGTCTGTCGAATCGTGTTCAAAATCTACTTCAGGCTCTACGGGATTTAATTTCAATTTATTCAACCTTTGAGTTACAATACCGTAACTAGCATCAAAATATTTTTCTATATCAACTACATACGATTTTATCCTATCTACTAATTTTGGTTCACACAGCTCACTATTGAATTTTTCCCTATTCTCAGTAAATTCTAATTTAAGCCTATTTAATTTTTCCAATTTATATTCTAGTACCTTAAAATTACTTCTTCTGTCTGCATTGTCTTTCACCAAATTTCTATAAATTACTCTGAGCTCTTCACATGAGTATCTAATTTCATCTGCTTCCTTCGACATTCCATATAATTCTCCTCCATCATTTCTTGCTCATATAATATATTATCTATGTCCAATAATAGCCATCATTCCATAATATCCATTAGTATGACCATTATTATAACCCTAAAAAAAAAATTACAGCTGCTCTCTGCTTCTGGATATTTCAGTTCTAATCTTCCTTTCCATCGAATTTATGCATCGAATAAAAATCAACCATCCCAGGAAAAGAACCATAAATATTAGTACAATTACGGTTAGAACATCTTGGATAGAACCGAAACTTGCTTCTTTGTTCTGGTTGGCATCGTTCGTTTGTCCACCACTGTTTCCCGCCTGTGCAATTATAATTTCCTCTTTGCTTTGTTGTTTTCCCATCGCATCTCTCTATCTTAGGCCAATTTCATTGCTAAGTTCTTTTGAGGCAGGGTCGCCATGTGATAACTTAGTGGTGAGGAGAGTTGGGATAATTAAAACAACGACTCTTCTTCACTAAGTTCAAAATCAATCTCTTTTCTATTTCAGTAAAATGGTACCATTCCCACAATAGTTGTTTAGCTTAGTCAGTAAATAATATGATACAATAATTAGGTAGGTATATGCAATAATTTAACGAACTGCATGAACCTTGGTAATACCACTGACCTACATATTACATTAATATACAGTGTCTAACAACTAGTATGGTTTACCAAAAAATACTTAATCTATTTAGTTCTAATATATTATACTACAGGGCTAAGATATTTCGAAAAACTTTTAGTTCTTCCAAAGACTTCGATGCAAACAATTCTTGTTGGGAACGTTCTAAAATATCTTATTGTTCTTGCTGAATTTGTTTTTGCAAATCACATTGAGTAGACGGCCTATCGGTACTTATTGATTCTATCAGTACTTTTATTTCTTCATCCGTGTTTTCAATATCGATGACTAAGTTACTTTCTACAATTTTTTTTTTATGAAATATGTTTATAAATTATTTATATATGTACATGTTTTTAAAGATTTTTTACAGAAAAAGAACTAAGGTGTACGTACATATATGTATGTAATATAATATTGCGTATAAAAATATTTTTCATATCATTTTCATCATATTCTCAAATAGTTTGGTTTGATAATTTTTAATGTTTCTTTTAAAAACCACATTTTGGTTTGTAAAATTTTTAAGAATGATATAGAATTACCAGATTGTATTTCTTCATTTTGATTGATTTGGGTAAATCATTGATTTATTTGCACACTAGATGGACATGCTTGCACATATTCCATTCAATACAGCTATCCATGAAAGTACAGCTGAAACGATGAATGCAAGAATTGCATTCATGACATAGAATTTTACAAGTGCATTCTGGTTTCACTTCTTCAATAGCATACATTTCTGTAAAAGATGATGATGGTGCAATCCAAGACACTTCGCCTGTATAAAAAAAAAATATATATCAGTAATTTTTGTGGATATTTTGTCCTTGTTTAAAGCTATTAGACGTTCAAATAGCTTGTCTCTCAGAAATTTCATGACAGCTCTTATGGCCTTATCTCCTTATCAAGTCGCTTTACAAACTTACCATCCAGATAAAAATGTTTAATTATACGATGCATCCTCTCAATATGCATATTTGTATTCAAGCCGCTATTAACTCTAAAGCAGTACGCCCATTGCTCAGCATTAAGAGTTGGAGTTCTGGCCATCCAGTGCAACATAAATGGATCTGTCCTTTAGGTAACTTTCAAACCAAGTGCAAAGTTTCGGCGATAATCCCATTGCTTTGAGCTTGTTGAGCAGATTTTCATGCCAAACTTTGTCGAATGCTTTAGATATATCTAAGGCAATTGTTCTTGTTTCACCCCGCAACTCAATCGCTTTTTGCCATAAGTGAGTGACGTATGTAAGTAAATCGCCAGTTGACCTATATTTTCGAAATCCGTATTGCTTATCGTTGATAATTTTGTACTTTTCCAAGTACTTGGTTAGGTGATTGTTCACAACTCTTTCCATTACTTTTGATATCACCGGAAGTAGAGCAATTGGTCTATAGTTTAACGGATCTGTCTTGGATGGTGCTATGTCGAGCGCACCTTAGCGTGGGTAGGTATTTTTTTTTTTAAAGACTGGCCTTCGTCGTCGGGTCGCACTTTGTAGTCGCCGCGGCTTCGTTGCTGCTCGGTCGAGCTGTAGGCGCGCGCTGATATGCGTGGACATCACACACCCTCACCCTCGTTTTTGACCACCTAATTAGGGAGGGAAATATGGTACAATAAGTATTTATGTAAATACATTTTGAATATACTCTTCTGCAAGACAATAATCATTCTATTGTTTAATCCACTTGCTTAAACTAATTACCTATAATTATAGGGCTTGCAGAAAAATATCTCTTTTATGCAGTGTTAATATTTCAGAAACGCTTAATTCAAAAAAATAGGTCTCGCACAACGAGAGTGATACTTGGATGTGATTCTTGTACTGTACCGGAGCTACAGGATATAAAAGAATATACTCTATATAAGTCTCGAACAAGAGTTATTGATTTTTGAGTAAGCACCATCCACGATGTACAACAGCAAACGAACCTGTAAACAGAACTTTTAAGAAACCTGTCAGTCAAATACAAAATCACTAAATCTACTTGGTTTAGGAACCGTCCTGGTTCGTCTCTTAGAAATATTTTTATGCCCGCTCTGGTAACATCCGCTTTCTCCCACTTGGGGCTGTTGTCCCCTTACAATGCCTAAATCAAGGGATTTTCCCTTATCGTCAAGGTTCATAGTAGTAGGTGAGATATGGGCCATTCCCGTGTCTATTCTGCAAAAGGAGTCATTAGTATTTCTAGATAAAATTTTTTTCCTATTATTATCTATATGAGAAGGGCCAGGTTCACAAACAAGTTCTCTACCTGCCACATTCTTAGAAATATCATTACACAATTTTTGTATGTCACGACCCGGCTGATTGTCTGCCATACTGTCAGGTGTGCCAGGGTCGTCCTGGATGGACTCTCCCGAGGCCGATGTCTGCTGATCGACACTCTGTTGCCCTCCAGATTCTCCTTCTGCTTCCACTTGTTTCAATGCTCCTCTGCTCCATTCTTTCTGATGGTCAAATTTCTGTTTCGGCCTGCTTTCGCAAAGAGTTTTAAGTCTTTCATTGTGGTTATTTAGGTGTTCATCTTGTGCCATTTTCTGTATTTGGTTCACATGACGCTTCCACACATTACCTCCTGGTAATCTACATATATATATATTACTTTTCCCATTCTTTTTGTGATGGTTGCTCTTGTCCATGTTCTTTTATTCCCTTGTCTATAGTCTGCTACCATTACCTCTTCTCCCACATCAAAATCTCTATGCCGGCCTCCGAAGTACAGTTTTTGCCTCTATTGAGCTTGTAATTGTTTCGGCAAAGGTTTCATTTCACTGTCTTTTTGTTCTTCATCAATCTTGCTTTCTCTTAAGATGTCTAATCTTGTCCTTATCTCTCTGCCCATCATTAGCTTCGATGGTGTTTCTCCTGTGCTGCTGTCTTTTGTTATCCTGTAGGCAAAAAGATACTCTGAAACTGACATTGACAAATTCTTTTTACTGTTTTGCTGGGCCAGTAATCTTGCTTTAAGGTTAGCTTTAACGCTTTTTACAGCGTTTTCCGCTAAACCATTTGATTGTGGATTATAGGTTGGAGAAGTTATATGTTTGATGGCGTTACAGTTAAAAAATGCTTGAATGTTTTCCGCTATAAATTGTCTTCCGTTGTCTGTACCACTGTTCTAGGCAAACCCCATCTTGAGAACAATATCTTTAGCTTCAAACCTCTCAATATGAATACTTCTACCCACTTAGAATATGCATCCAATGCAATCAAAAAAAAAATATCATTCATTGGACCACATAAATCAAGATGTATTATCTGCCAAGGAGCTTTTTCAGTCTTCCATGGCGTCAAATAACTTTTTGGAGGTGCTTGTTTATTTTCAGACAGAAATGACAAGAATTGCACTTGATTTCTATCTCCCTGTCCAAACCAGGCCAATAAATAAAAGATCTAGCTAAGCTTTTCGTCTTAACAATTCCAAAGTGACCCTCATGTAACTCATCTAAAAATTTTTTCCTCAAAACTTTTGAAATTATTATACGGTACCCCCACATCACCACACCATTCTCTACTGTAAGCTCATCCTTTCTACTGCAATACGGCTTAAGTGCTTCTGGCACTGCCTCTGGCCATTTTTCAGCTTTAATGTATTCTCTGATTGTAATTAGTTCGTCGTCCAGCTCTGTTTGTTTCTGGATTTCGTCATTGCCTATTGGCCAGTCATCTATGGTTGTGGTAAAATGAAGGTATTGTCCTTTTTCTTTGGAGTCTTCCTCCAATCTGGTCTTCAGTGGGAACCTAGACAGATAATCACAAATTTTATTTTCAGTGCCTTTTATGTATTGAATATTATAATTAAAACTAGATAAATATACTGCCCATCTTTGCATTCTGTTTGCATACATCTGTGGGATACCTTTATGTTCACCAAATATTATCAACAGGGGTCGGTGATCCATACGCAAAGTGAATCTTTTTCCATACAAGTATTGGTACCATTTGTTTACCGCCCAAAAAATTGCTAGAGCCTCTAGATGTATAATTGGATACTTCTGTTCCGCTGGTGTTAGCGTCCTAGATGCAAAGCAAATGGGTCTCTCATCTCCATTTTTCGTTTTATGGGATAGAACAACCGCTATCTATCAGATTTTTAATTTCTTTAAATGCCTTCTCGCATTCATCACTCCAAAAATACTTCATGTTCTCTTTCAATAAGTTATAAATAGGTTTCAAAATTCTAGCTAGATTTGGAATTAACTTTCCATAATAGTTTACCATGCCCAGAAAAATTCTCACATCCTTAACACATTTAGGTTCTGGTGCATGAACTTTTTTATTTATTTTATCATCATTTTTCATTAACTCTTCTGACGTTATTGTAAAACCTAGATATTCAATTGAGTCTTTAAAAAATTCACATTTACTCACA